TTTTTAAATCTTATATTAATTTTTATTAAATTAAAGTTTTATTACATTAAACTGTACTTTATATACATATATATNGAAAGTGATGTAACACAATCAATAGAACAATGAACAGCACACAGGAGACTGAAATGGGAACATGTACAAATAGACGAGGAATTAATAAAGCTGGTTTACAAATGGAGAATGAAAGGAAAGAGATGGTAAAGATGGGAACAATAGGGAGGGTGAGGATCTGGTCACAACAAGGGTGACGTCTTTAAAGCGGGCATGGAGACGTGTTAACTGTTTCATTTTTAATCAAAACTCGATAAAGCGCTTTCCTAAATAAGGCTTTTATCCATAATGCGCCAGTATGTGCTTGGTAACGAATTTTTCCCTTCAGTATTAAGTAGTGAATCCTCCAGCATTTTTGTGTAAGAAAATGCTAGATTCTCTATTGCAAACGCTATTTTTTTTATACCAAATTACGTGACTCCTCTTTCTTGTGCATTGGTAGATACAGAAGGAAACACATGGAATCCCCTTGAAGAGGTTCACGCCTCTCCAATGATGCTCTTTATGCCATTATGTATCATAAAATAACTTTATCTTTCTAATACCTTTGTAAGGAAAAATAATGCTATAGTATGGTTTATAAACAAGATAATTCTGACTCCTTAATAAAGAATTTCCTTTAAACAATAATAAATTCGTTGGAAAATTATATTATTAATATTTCTAATATTAATTCTTTTATTAAAACATGAATTGTGAGAATTTTTTATACAAGATGAGTCAAAAGTCTCTACACAAAGCCTGATGGAATACATTGAGGACGTACAGTACGTGTGCGTGGAGGCATTTTAAACTCTTTTAAGGCACCAGACTCAATTTATTTAGAGAACAAAAGTAATAATGAGCAATAAGATAGGAAGCGAGGTCTTCAGGTATTCCTTTTTCACATTACACTGAAGAAAATAAAGAATTGTAGAAGGATAAAATTGAGAGATCCAAGGTTGAGGAGCGCAGTTGAGAGATCGAAGCTTGTGATTGCAATAATTATAAAAAGAAAAAGAAATTAATAAAATTTTATGAATGTAAAGTGGGTTTTTTCACATTTTTTAAAATGCAATTACTAGATGATTATGAAAGGAGGAAGATGGAGTAGAAGGAAGAAGAAAGAGAAAGGAAAAAATGGTTAGTTGAAGGGATAACGTCTGTAATTTGCATAATTATGTAATATTAACTTTCTCTTTTATGTTAGAAAGTACAAAGTAAATGTTGAATAATCAAGTAATTAATATTAATCAATACTATTCGTCCATGTAATTAGTAATATTGAGACAATAAAAAAAGGATAAATTACAACGTTTGTTAAATAGCAATTATTTCTTAAAAACAATTATTATAATTAATTTTAAATGTTGTAAACATATTTTTTAAACTACCAATTTAATTCTTTTTTTAAATCTTATATTAATTTTTATTAAATTAAAGTTTTATTACATTAAACTGTACTTTATATACATATATAT